CCACCCGCTGCCATCGCTACCGGATCGGGCAATCCGGTCCAAACCGGGAGCATTTCACCCCTGAATGCAGCCCTCAATGAAATTGAGTTTGACACCCCTGTTATAGCATCTCCTGCTTAAGCAAGGGGTTGGATTAGAAGACCTCTAAGGTCCCTTCCAACACTGATATTCTGCTAACTGGGATCTTAGCGGCTTCCTACTCCAGGAGCAAACGCAGAGGTCCTGCTGCTTTGGTTTGTCTTCCCTCAGTGGGGGGGAAGGTTTCAGATTCCATTTCTTTCCCAACTACTGTAGCTGCCCTTACAAGATTTACAACAACTCTGGGAAATCAAAGCTTTATTGAACGGCTCACACTCTTCTGCTCCTTCTTTTAACAAATTCCCTCTTGCAACTGGGATCTCTCCATCCAGATGTTCAGGATTGTTTAGGCTTTTGAGAAGCACCAGCTCCTCAAAGAGTGGCACCCTTCTGCCACCCACATTCCTGGGAAATTCTTGTCCCTGGGGGCTTGTGGCTTCTCAGTTGAGGGCCCCTTTTAAGCCGACATTTACTTTGACACAAGACTGTAATAATTGTTTATCTTTAACACACCCTCCGCTCCCACCCACATTCCTGCAAACAATTTGAGGACTTCATTATATCAAGATTCTCAAAATTCAACCCACTCCGCTTAAGTTGGACAAACAAATACTCTTTTTTTTTCCCCCAAAACACTAAGAGATAAGCATTTCTGCAGCACACGGGGTACGCACGAAGTGGGCTTTTTCTCTCTCTCCAATCTGGGGTTCAGCTTTAGAAATAAACCTTTTTATTTCATCAAGTCAGGCTGGCCTAATCTCTCCAATTGTGTATTTTAATTTGGATTTTTAATGGGGGATTTTAGCTGTCGGGCCAAAATGTTTCATTTATTTTTAAATTCGTTTTTAAATTTTGTATATTTGATGTTTTTTACTTCTGGCTGTTCACCGCCCTGAGTCCTTCGGGAGAAGGGCGGTATATAAATTCAAATATTAAATTAAATTAATTAAATTAGAGTAGAACAGAACAACAGAGTTGGAAGGGACATTGGAGGTCTTCTAGTCCAACCCCCTGCTTAGGCAGGAAACCCTGGCCTGTACTGTTTCAGACAAATGGTTATCCAATCTTTCTTCCAGAGCTTTAGAAAGTGATTGAATCAAATCAGCAGGGTGCAGCAGCAGCAGTCAAAACAGCTAATGCAATCCGTGGTTGTATAAACAGAGACATAGGATCAAAATCACATGAAGTATGAGTACCGCTTTATAAAGCCTTAGCAAGGCCACACCTGGAATCCTGAGTCCAGTTTTGGTCACCACATTACCAAAAAAAGATGTTGAGACTTTGGAAAAAGTGCAGAGAAGAGCAACTAAGATGATCAAAGGCTTGGAGATTAAAACGTATGAAGAACGGTTGCAGGAATTGGATTTGGCTTGTCTAGAGAAAAGAAGGACTAGGGGAGACAATATGATAACAATATTTCAGTATTTGAGAGGCTGCCACAAAGAAAAAGGAGTCAATTTATTTTCCAAAGCACCAGAAGGCAGGACAAGAAACAATGGATGGAAACTAATCAAGGAGAGAAGCAACCTGGAATTGAGGAGAAACTTCCTAACAGTGAGGACAATTAAACCAGTGGAACTGCTTGCCTTCGGAAGTTGTGGGTGCTTCATCACTGGAGGTTTTTAAGAAGAGACTAGACCAGTGATGGCTAACCTTTTTGCCGTCGCGTGCCAAAAGCAGGGGGGAGTGGGAGGGGTCGCAGGTGCGGCTGCCCACATCCATAATTCAATGCTCCCCGCCCTCCCGCACATGTGCATGTGATCCCCCCCCACACTTCCCCCTGCTTTTGGCACGCGATGGCACGTGGGCCCGGTAGGCCCGTTTTTCCCCCTCCCCAGGCTCCAGAGGCTTTCTAGGAGCCTGGGGAGGGCAAAAACAGCCTTCCCCATCCCCCCGGAGGCTGGAAACAGCCAGTTTCCCGACTTGCAGTGGGACCGGAAGGCCTGAAAATCAGTTGGCCGGGGCGCACATGCGTGCTGGAGCTGAGTGAAGGCAACACTCACGTGCCCACCAATATGGCTCCGCGTGCCACCTGGGGCACCCGTGCCATAGGTTCACCATCACGGGACTAGACAGCCATTGTCTCAAATTGTATAGGATCTCCTGTTTGAGCAGAGGGCTGGACTAGAAGACCTCCAAGGCAGGGGTGAAATGTAAAATTTGTTACTACCTGTTTGTGGGCGTGGCTTGGTGGGGGGAGGGGGTAATGTGACTGGGTGGGCATGGCCAACTTTTTGTTTTTTAACTTTTCAAAGCATTTTTTCTAATGCTTCGAAAAGCCTCTGCCGAACAGGCAACTCAGCTGGGATCTCAGAGACTTTTTAAAGCATTTTTTTTACCACCTCTTCGGCCAAGAGGTTGCAGAAAAAAATGCTTTGAAAAGCCTCTGACGATCCCAGCTGAGCTGCGCAATCATCAGAAGCTTTTTAAAAAACTTTTAAAAGCATTTTTTCGTCGGAAGAGGTTGTAGAAAAAATGCTTTTAAAAGTAAAAACAAAAAAAATTGTTCAGATTTGAAAAGATCCAAGGTGGAAATATTATATAAAATCATTTATATTATATAAAATCATTTATAATGCATAATAAAAAACATAAGCACATTTCATTTGTCTTAGGTTGATCTCTGAACACCATACTAGGGGTACACATCATAAAAGTAACTATTGTGTATAGAAAGTTGCAGGTGGGATGACATCTGTATACGGCTCATTTCATTCTATCTCAAAACCTTGAAATGTTGATAAACACCATTTCCTTTATATTCCTTTATATTTAACTTTTCTTTTCTTTAACTGTCTATCACTGCTTTAAGCCGGAACATTCTGAGATCTTTCACAGAATATCCAGATAAGCTACACAATGCAATAATCAATTCAAAAAACATGCTTAGAAGATTCACCATTTCAACCCTAGCTAACTTTAAGTAAAACCAAGAAGTTTTACTACCCACAGTGGGACTAAGTTACAAAATGGATATGGGAGTCCCCTGAACACCTGGGGAAAGCAATATACGTGTATATAATTACGATTATCAAACAGAACTAATGGAATGGATCAATTTGCTTCGGCCAGCCCTATGCGTCTTTAAAAAGTACTTTGTACATCCAAAATTCGTCACCCTAGCAAAATCTGACAGGTTTAAATGTTTTCAATTTCAGCAAGAATTTTAGCAAGGATTTTTCTATTCTTCCCACTCAACAAGCCCAAACATATTTTGTGCCAAACTGCATGCCATTCTGCTCTTAAGACTGAACAACCTGTAATAACATACCCACAGTCCTAATTCCCGAGAAACCAATTCTATTTACCGCCCTCCAACCTTTTGAGAGATCAAACCCTTCGTCTCCATTTCTTTAGACTTCCGATTAATTATTTTTTTTTCCTCCCTCACTTAGCTACCCAGCCCAGAAAGTCAGCTTAGCAAGTGATTTCTTGGACTTTTTCCAACAAATATTGGGTAAGGAGCATTAGGGACCCTTTTCAGATAGGAAGGTTAGTAAATGTGGAAAATAAAATCCCCTTTATAAAGCACTGAACAAAAGGGCACCTGAGAACCCAAACAGACACAAAGTGCACCTTGGAAAGCCACAGTCACCAAAAGAGGGTCTGTGCGTCTGTCTTATAAGTGGAAATCAGTTCAGAAGCGAAGAAAATTGGAAGATAAACGTAATCTAGAGATTGATAGATGAATGGGGGGAGGGAGATGAGGAGGAGAAGAGGGAAGGAAGGGAAGAAGCAAAGGGGAAGGGGGAAGGGAGAAGGGAAGAGGAGGAAAGGGGAAGGGGAAGGGGAAGGGGAAGGGGAAGGAAAGGAAAGGAAAGGAAAGGAAAGAAAGAAAGGAAAGAAAGGAAGAAAGGAAAGGAAAGGAAAGGAAAGGAAAGGAAGGAGGAGGGGAAAGAAGGAAGGAGAGGGAAGGAAAGAAGGAAGGAGAGGGAGGGGGAGGAAAGAAGGAAGGAAAGGGAGGGGAAGGAAGGGGAGGGAGGGGGAAGGAAGGAAGGAGAGGAAGGAGAGAGAAGGAGGGGGGAAGGAGGGAGGGAGGGAAGGAAGGAGGAGAGGGAGGGGGAAGGAAAGAAGGAAGGAGAGGAAGGAAGGAAGGAGGGAGGGAGGGAAGGAAGGAAGGAGGAGGGAGGGAGGGGAAAGAAAGAAGGATTGGTAGGGGGAAGGAAAAAAGGAAGGAGAGGAAGGAAGAAGGAAGGAGAGGAAGGAGAGAAGGAGGGAGGGAGGGAGGGAGGGAAGGAAGGAAGGAAGGAGAGGGAGGGGAAGGAAAGAAGGAAGGAGAGGAAGGAAGGAGGGAGGGAGGGAAGGAAGGAAGGAGAGGGAGGCAGGGGGAAAGAAAGAAGGATGGTAGGGGGAAGGAAAGAAGGAAGGAGAGGGAGGAGGAAGGAAGGAAGGAAGGAAGGAAGGAAGGAAAGAAAGAAAGAAAGGAGAGGGAGGAAGGAAGGGCTACCCAGAGTCCTAATTGTCTGAGCAAAGGGAGGGGGAGGGCCGCAGGCTGAAAAACCAAGGTAGAATAGAATCGAACACAGAATTCTTTATTGGCCAAGTGTGACCGGACACACGAGGAGCTTGTCTGTGGGGTGCCGAGGCTCTCAGTGTGTACATAAAAAGGCCCAGCTACGTTGGCCAAGAGCCCTAAGGCCGATGGGGAGGCAGGGCTTTCCTGCGTTCTCGCCAAGAGGAACGAGACCTGAAAGTTGGGACGCCTCAGCTTTGGAGCCACGCTTCTCCTTCCCAAACCCTCCAACTCCGAAAAACCCCGGAGGGTCGCCCTCTCCTCCCCATAGGAAGAAGACCGCGCGGAGCAGGGCAGGCTCTCTCTCCGAAGCGGAGACGCCCCCCCCCACTCACCCAAGACCCCAAACCCAGCCCCGCACTTGTTGCTGCCGCATTCACACACACACACAGACAGACACGTGTTCTACCTGGATGGTCTGGTTGGGCTCCCCACCCGAGACCGGCCCTCCCACGAGTTTGCAATACAGATCCTCCACGGGGCGCGGGGGGCTCCGGCCGCCGGCTTCTTCCTCGCCGCAGGTCGCGGTGGCCGAGATCTTGGTGCCCTCGGCCAGGTTGAAGTAAGGCGGGTGCAGGCTGTAGCCGTTCACGTCGGCCTGGAAGGAGACCGGCTGACCCGATGAAGGAGACCCCAGCAGGGCCGCCGCTATCACCACCAACACCCCAAGCCGCAGCCGCAGCAAAGCCACCGGGCACCGGAGCTCAGCGACGGGCACCGGCCGGCTCGCCATGTTTTTCCCGGGGACTTTGGCCGCCCAGCCGCCCGCCCGCCTGCAAAGAGCCGGGCGTGGGAGATCCGCCGCCAAGGGAGGCCGATCGGGCTGAGCCCCGAACCGGTTAGGATCGGGGAAGAGGCTCCGAGGAAGAGGAGGAGGAGGAGATCGGGCGCTCCGGCGAAGTCGATCCCCAAGCAAGCTGCAACCTGCGCTGCTCCCGCGGGGCGGCCGCTCGATCCGGAGCGCGGCTCGGTTGGTTCTCTCCCTCTTTTTTTTTTTTTTTTGCGGCTCGAAACGGCCCCGGGAGGGAAGTGGCGCGGGGAGGGGAGGGAGGGGCCACGCGGGGATTAGTCCTGCCGGAGGCTGCCCATTGTGTCGGCCGCCCTCGCGGCTCTTGTCCCGGGTTAACCCGTTCTGCCCGTCGGCCGGCCAGGAAAAAGCGGGCAAAGGAGAGAAAACAAAGATTTTTTGGGGGGGGTGGGAGAGTCCGCACGCGTGTCTCGCCTTGCACCGGCCGCTGAGGCGAGAGGAGGGGTGGGGTGTGTGAGGAAAAAAGAGGCGCCCGTTGGGGCCCTTTACCCCCTCCCCAAAATTCTCCTTTTTTAATCCCCCCTCTATTTTTTTTAAATTTCCCTTTTGCAAATAGTTAAGCAAATCCAAGGATTTTTTTTCCTCAGTCCCCCTCAGCCCGGAAGGACGAGTCTGGGCAAGCTAGCCTGGGATTGCCTCTGGGCGCGTGGGGGGTTGGGACGCGGGTGGGTTTGCAGCAGTAGCTGGTAGTCCTCGACTTAAGAGAGTCATCGCGGAGCCCCACGTTTCTCTTGCTAAGTGAAACATGAGTGAAGGGAGGTTTGCTCCACCTTACCGACCTTTCCTTGTTAAAGTGAATCACGGCGGTGCTTAAGTGAGGAGCAAACTTGTTAAGGGAATCACTGCAGGGGTTAAGTGAGGAACAGGGTTGTTAAGTGAATCACTGCAGGGATTAACTGAGGAACAAGGTTGTTAAGGGAATCACTGCAGGGGTTAAGTGTCTAGTGGTTCAGCAGACTAAAAGCATTGTGATTAACACCAGCTGTCTGCAATTATTGTAAGTTCGAATCTCACCAGGCTCAAGGTTGACTCAGCCTTCCATCCTTTCTAAGGTAGGTGAAATGAGGACCCAGTTTGTGGGGGCAATAAGCTGACTTTGTATAAATATACAAAAGTATGAAGGCTATTGCTTAACGCATTGTAAGCTGAGTCCGGAGAAGGGCGGCATATAAATCATTTTTTTAAAAAAAAAACAAGTGAGGAACAAGGTTGTTAAGCAAATCACTGCAGGGGTTAAGTGAGGAGCAACGTTGTTAAGTGAATCACTGCAGGGGGTTAAGTGAGGAGCAAGGTTGTTAAGTGAATCACTGCAGGGGTTAAGTGAGGAACAGGGTTGTTAAGTGAATCTGGCTACCCCGTGGACTTCGCTGGTCAGAAAGTTACAAACGGGGATCACGTGACCCCCGTGACATCACAACCGTCATAAATATGAGTCCGTTGCCAAGAAGCTGAATTTTGATCATAATCTCTTGCAGGGTGGAGTCTGGGCAACTGAATGGAGCTAGCGGAGGGTTTTAAATGCCGGATGCCCTTCCTGTCGCCAATGCAGAGTTTTGTTCAGCAGAAACATTCTCAGTGTGCCCTGGAGATGCTATTAGGAAATGTAAACTATAGACTAGACTGGGAAGATGAGAAAAAACAACAACACCTTATTCCAGTGGAAGTATATTTCATTTTGTCAGGAATTTGAAATAAGGTTGACTTGAAGGAGTCTTCAGTTACTTTTCTTCACTTTTTAAAAGGAAGTGTGTAATGCAATTGAATTAGCCAGTTTGATCGAATGCACCAGGTTAGAAACTAGGTGATTGTGAGTTCTAGTCCTACCTTACGTATGAAAATTGGCTGGGTGAATTTGAGCCGATCACTGGAGCCTGTGTGTTCTAATCCTGCCTTAAGAAGGAAAGGCAGCTAGTTGACTTTGGACCAATCATCAGGAGACTTGCGAGTTCTAGTTCCACCTTGGGCATGAAAGCCAATTGGATTATTAGTCCAATCACCAGGAGGCTGTGAGTTCTAGTTCCACCTTAAGAATGAAAGCCGGCTGGGTGGCCTTGGGCTAGTCACTTTCTCTCAGTCCAATCCACCTCGTGGCCAGTCCAGCAGTGGACCAGACAGAGGTGGTATTCAGCCGGTTCAGACCGGTTTGAGCGAACTGATAGCTCCGATGATCAGCGTTCCCCGCCCACCCGATCCTGTCCTTTATTTCCTGCTTTCTAGCTCATCTCAAGCACGCGGTACAGCTGATCCCCCCCCCCCCCGCTGTTCTACTTAACCGTTGCTGACTTGGAAGGTAAGCAGCTGAGCTAAATGCTCCGTTTTCAGTGCTACGTGCAAGTGCTTTAACCGTGCGCTCACCGAACCGGTTGTTAAACTGGCAGCATCCCACCATTGGGGCCAGTCCAAGCCGAAAGTGCCCGGAGCCACCACAGTCCTTGTGATGTGATTCACATTCATATAAAGATGCATGACCTGCAAACACAACTCTGCTTTATATCTCCTGAAATATAAGTTAGAAGGGTATATTGATTATTTTATTTTTATTTATTTATTTATTTTGTCATTATTAACAAAATAAATAAATAAATTACTTAATTAATTAATTAAATTAATTAATTAATTATATTAAGCCCATTGAATCCAATGCCCTCTCAATGTCTCTGGGTCATTGTGTCTCTCAAACGAGCGGTGCGGTGGCCTAGAGGTGAAGTTCTCGCCTCGCAATCAGGAGGCTGTGGGTTCGATCCTAGGTAGAGGCAGATATTTCTCTCTCTGGGCACATTGAGAATATATCTGCTGAAGAAAAAAACTCCGTATTGGTGACAAGGAAAGGCATCCGGCCAGTAAACACTTAGCACCATTCAGTTGCCCAGACTCCACTCTGCAAGGGATTATGGGGTCATTAAAAGAGGATGATGATTGTGTCTTCCAATGAATACAGGTACTCCTCCACTTACAACCATTCACTTAGTGACAATTCAAAGTTACGACCGCACTGAAAAAAAAGTGACGACCGTTTTTCACACTTACAACCATCACAGCATCCTCATGGTCGCATGACCAAAATTCAGACGCTTGGCAACTGACTCATATTTATGATGGTTGCAATGTCCCGTCGATGGGGAAGCCAGATTCACTTAACAACCCTGTGACTTTACTTAACGATTATGGCAAGAAAGGTCATAAAGTTCAACAAGTGTCTTAACAATGGACATTTTGGGCTCCATTGCAGTCGTAAGTAGTTTTATTATCATATGGAATTCAGACATTTCCTTCCTGTAACTTGAAAGTATGACTTTTATACGCTGCAATTTTAAACGAGTCTGCATGACATTCTTTTCAGTATTTGGAGAGCTATCATATCAAGGGTTTGAAGATGTTATCCTACTGCCTGTGAGGCACATTTTCTCAAGGCTAAACAAGGGCAATTCCTTTGTCACCCTTAATTATTGTTACTAACAGTCTTAAAAGCAATAATAACTACAGGTAATCCTCGACTTACAATCATTCATTTAGTGACCATTCAAAGTCAATAACAGCACTGAAAAAAGACACGTATGACCATTTTTTCACACTTACGACTGTTGCTGCATCCCAATGGCCACATGATCAAAATCCAGACATTTGGCAAACTGGCTCGCTTAGCAGTGGGAATTTTTAGGTTCAATTCCAGTCGTAAATTGAGAACTACCTGTAATATGGTAGGCTAGATATTCCTCATCAAATATAAAGAAAGTATGAGTTTTATTACATTTAGGTGGATGGATGACGTGTGATGTTTTGAGACACCTGCAGAAACACAAGATATCTGAATGATCCTTCTGGGTCAAAATCCTCGATTTCACCAATAAACGCCCAGATATTTCACTATCCTCTCTTAAGAGACCTTCTACCCTGGTTTCCCCCATGCCTTTTCAAAACAAAATAAAAGGCAAAGGGGTGTTTGCAGCTTGGAAAAAAAGAAACATGGTCTCGTCCGCCATGGCCCCCCCCCAAAAAAAAGTTTGTTTGCATAACCTTTCCGCTCTTATTTTTGCTGTGACCATTTCAATGCCGGATTTTAAACTGCTGGGCTCCAGTGTTTTTTCTTGCGCTGAATGAATCTCCTGTTGTATTCAGGCGAGGTTTTTTTTATTTTTGCCACTGAGTGAGACGCCGCCTAGGGCCCTTGAATAACTTAGCTGCCGTCCTGAGAAACAAAGGGCCGATTCTTTTATTGTGGCAGAGGGTAGGAACCGCTGCGATGTCAGCAAAAGTTTCTTGGGTGACTTGGACAGTTGCGGAAAACGTCGGACTCTTGACACGCTAAGGCGCGCTTTAAGCCGTTTCACCCTCCAGCTGCTTCAGTCTTGGCACAGGGCTGCTGGAGATGGTATTGACATGATGTCACGACTTCCAAGCGCCCGTTTTCGTGTAACCCAAGGTGCCTCGGCCTCCTTTTTTGCATAGGAGCGTTGAAGCACAGCAACCGAGCTCATTCAATTAGGAATGACTTCCTGGAGAGCTTTCAACGCCACATTTAAACGCTTTGAATAGCTTGCTAAAGCTTGGGAATTTTAAAAGCGGGCCTTGTTTTTTAGTGCCAGTTTCTCACCAGGCCAGAAAACTTTTTCTTTCACCTGACTAAATCCTTAGTTCTGCTAAAAAAAAAACACACAACACCCTAATTTCTGCATTAAAGCAAGCCACCTGGAGAGAAGAATGATGGATCTATAGTATGCTTCCTTTGAGCGATGCAACCTCTCTGTTTTGGTTGAGGGTTTTCCCACTTGAGGCTCTTCCTGGCTTGTGTGGAAATGCAGGATGTACAGGTGGTCCTCAAATTACAGCTTTTCGTTTAGTGACCGTTTGATGTTGCAAAGGCACTGAAAAATGTGACCTATGACCGTTTTTCCCACGACTATTGTGGTTTCCCCATAATCACGTGATCAAAATTCAGATAGAATAGAATAACAGAGTTGGGAGGGACCTTGGAGGTCTTCTAGTCCAACCCCCTGCTTAGGCAGGAAACCCTACCCCACTTCAGACAAATGGTTATCCAACATCTTCTTAAAAACTTCCAGTATTAGAGCATTCACAACTTCTGGAGGCAAGTTGTTCCACTGATTAATTGTTCTCACTGCCAGGAAATTTCTCCTGAGTTCTAAGTTGCTTCTCTCTTTGATCAGTTTCCACCCACTGCT